CACAAATCACAGTATCTAAAAAATTCAACCATTCCATTCACACAAAATTCCCACTAATACAAATTAAAATTAAACAAAATTAAAATTTTAAAAATTAAATATATCTAACTATCTACCTTGAGAGAGAAATTGAGGGCAACAAGGGGTAATATATGATGACACTGCTGCCGTTGCCTCTCCGCGAAGGCAAAATCATAGTTGTCAGATCCGATCCGGACACTGTCTTGGACAATGCAGTGGGTCAGTGGTTCGATCGGTGACTCAGTGGTTGGACCGGTGGGTCAATTCTTGTTAAATATATTATTATCCATTTATTGAATAATAAAATTTTGACATTTTCTAATACTAACTAAATTAATTTTATGTAATTTAGGTGACAAAATCAATTTTTATGTCAAAATTCAAAAAAATTGTAAATTTGCATAATGAAATATGGATTTGAAGTAATAAATAACCACCAATCAAAGACAAATTTATGTGGCATAATTAAACAAGATAGCTTTATACACTATAAGAATATTCCTGCAAAAATAAAATCAACATTTCAAAAATAATCATACATAAAGCACATGTTACAAAGTAAATTATTTGAAATAAATCAACAAACGTTTAAAATTTGTGATTATATATTGTATAGTATTGTGACCTTAATATATAATTAATAAAATATTTTTAATTATTTATTTAATTATCATATGATTTTTGAAGTTTTAAAAGTTATTTCTTAATTTTAAAATTGTATATTTTAATCACCTTAAATATGTAATGTTCCCAAGCAATCAAATGGGAAGTCCATATTTTGAAATTATTCTACCATTCTCTTACTTATGCAAACATTTGATTGCTATTAAATAATAAAACATAACTTTTTTTTTTCATTGACTCTTGGGTTGGACTACATAGGTTGCCACACATATATAGTTCCAATGATAACAACTTAGAAAACATGATCTAGTCCAACAAAAATGTCAACGTTGAACATGAAAGTCGTTGACCTCAAATTTTATATCTCCAACGTGGCCAATGGATCTCAAGGCCTTTCACGTCATGCAAGTCTATATCTTGCACACTTGGACAAATCGTTAGACACACGTGGCTTCCTTTGGTAGTGGTAGAGTCGGTCGCTCGCACTACGACGGTCAAGTCAGTTGAGATGACGATTATGAGTGTGTGAGGGTTTTAAACATGAGCCTCCAATGTAAAAAGAGTGGTCGGCTTTGAGAAGTGACTAGATTATAGCTTACGAGTATATCCTTACATTACCCTATGAATGACACCAAGTGTGAGTTTTTCTATTAGAAGAGGATGATTAAGAGTCGTTAGATAAATGGACACATGGCATCATCCTAATGGATGTGGCCTCTTGTCATAGCCATTAATCAATCATGAGCATTAAATGCTAACACATTTTTATTATCCATAATACCTATCTTGCGGCTTTACACTTGACCTGTTCAACTAGAAATGGCAGCTGTAGAAGTGGATTGTCACGTCAATCACATACTATGGATTGCTTGAGAAGATTTTGTGCCGAACTCCTTTAACGGTTCCCTTGTGATGCAAGTTTGGTTTTTTCCATAGAGGTCGACACGATCCAATGGGTTCGGTACCCGCACATTGGCTCGACTTATTCACGGATTCAGTCAAATAGCCTTATGGCAATTCGACTGGAGCCTAGGGGCCAAGTTTGCTTGCCATTTAGGATTTCTGGAGCCTTATAATGTAAGGCATAACAATAATCCCCAAAATTCACGTATAATTATTCATATAATGCGTGGACTTTTAAGTTGAGGACTTCTTTTGTTTTTTTTTTTTTTGCGTTTTTGCCCAAAAAAAAGTGATAGCGTAACTCAATAGTCCTCGAAGTCCAGGGATGATTATTCATATAATGCATGGACTTTGAAGTTAATGTTTGATATTGCATAATGGAGAATATTCGATGTTCGCAAAACCGGTTGAAGCCTGTACTAAGGCTGAATAAAGCAAATGCAATTGCCCTTGCTAAGAGGGTGAGCCTATTGATGTAATTGAAACATGTAGTAAGGCTGAATAAATCAAATGTGTGGGCCTTGCTAAGAGGACGAGCTTATTGATGTAGTTGAAGCCTGTAGTAAGGCTGAATAAAGAAAATGCGAGGCCCTTGCTAAGAGGGCAGCCTGCTGATGTAGTTGAAACCTGTAGTAATGCACAATAAAGCAAAGGCGAGGCCATTGCTAGGAAGGCAAGCCTATAGTAAGGCCGAATAAAATAAATGCGAGGCCCTTACTAAGATGGTGAACCTTTTGATGTAGTAGAAGCTGATGGGACATGTGCTGCAATGATTTTCCAAGTTATAGCTGCGGAGCATCTGGGATTTTTAATACACATAATGCATGCGCATTTGTTACGCCATGATGATGGTCCGTTACAACTAGTAAAGGCTATGCTATCCTTGAGTGCGTGCCTAACATGAAATGATCTGAGTCATTGATACAAATTTTAGCAAGTGCCTTTTAGTTTTAACTTACTGGATGGGGATATAGGTGTATGCCAGGGATTTCATTGAAGTTTATCCAACGGTGGAGTTTCGTCTTTGTTGCTTATAAAAGGAAAAACTTAGCCTTTTCTCACCTTTTACCTCGTAAAAAATCCTCAAATACTTGAAAGATTATTTGGAATTTTTGGCCATCTTTATAGTTTTTTCTGCTACCACTTGTAGTCAGACCTCCTTTTGTGCGTGTTTTTGATTTGCGTAACAAACGTTTATATTTTTCTTGTTACTTGCCTAAAGAAAACTGTCCAATGGCTTTTTCATTGAAATCGAATACTAAAGAGGGGTCTTCTGAAAAAGTTGATATTGTGATCATTTGCTTTGAGGTTGGCTTGCCTCCATTGATCCTTACTAAAAGGATAATAGAGGCGATGGAGGGACCCACATAGTGCGTGGATGATGCAAGAGGGGTCGTAGATTATAGTGTGAGGTGGGGACATCATTGAGGCCGACTTGTATATAGGAGAGTGAACTAGAGACTTTTAGGGAACGCTATAGGATCTCAGATACCATTGAGGTGTTTGTCCCAAGAACTGATGAGTGAGCCCGTTTTCCTAGGGATGGGTGTGTTCCCGTAAGAGAGGCGATTATGAGTGCTGGGATAAGGTTACATCTACACCGTTTGTTCAGATATATACTTAGGCAGTATAACCTAGCCCATACCTAACTTGTACCTAACACATGGAGCCAATGGCAGGGCCTTTGTTCTTTGGAAAGAGGTCACTCTTGGCAATGATATATCTCTCCATGTTTTTCAGAGCCTCTTCCAACCCTGGGCTTCTAGTGGGGAGATGATTGTAAGAGGTGGTATTATATGAACCCCTTGGTTCTACATTTGTCCTTCATTTTGGGCACACTGACCTCAATAAAGAACTAGAAGTCGTCTTGGTTCTGGGTAAGGGGTCGTTGCGAAGAGTGGAGGGTGATGTGGTTTAAAAATAACCGTGCCGACTCAGTACCACAAGTATAGTAAGTTTTCGTCTGCTATGAGTATGTTTACTGCTGTATTTTGACAAACTGTATTATTGACTTGTCTTTTATGTAGCTGCAATCAACCTCTTTGAGCTCAAGCTGTCTGAGTGGGCTATTGTTAAAGCTATTTATGAGCTACCTATTGAGAAGAGGCATTTCAAGAATCTTGTTGGCAAACGAACCCCTTTCGTTACTCATTTCCTGATGACCACCAGGGGTAAGTAACATCAACATTCATGTGTGCTTTTGCCTTATGTTTTGAATGAGCACTTAATGCATCATTCATTTTGTAGAGAAACATAAGAAGAAAGAGTATTTCAAGCCAACATGTTCTTTATGGGATGTCTTGACGAGGCGAAAAAGAAGAAACCCTTGAGTACAAGTACTCCAACATACAAACTACTATTGATGAGTCTATAA